GCCCCGCCCCGCCCCCAGGCGCGTGCGCAGAAGGTAAAACCTGACTAGGGAGTTGGCAGGTGTGTTAAAGCGAAGTGGGAAGGTTTGCCCGCCTCCAATGTCACTAAACGGGAGGTAACCCGAAACCTTCAGGGTCATCCTGACTCGTGTCCCAGGTTGTAATGCCTTGCATATTTCCTCGGACTTCCCTCAAACTACTTAATCCCGAATATTTGCCTTGGATCTTTGTGAGGATGACAGTCATGGGAGAGAGTTACTGTTTCTCTACCGCGAACAGACGATGTAAACTTGTAACTCTGGCAATTTTGCAAGGTTTCTCCCCCTCCCCCGCCCACCCCTTGAAGTGCTTATGTGTAAACCATTTGGTAAACCAGTTCTTCAATCCACCTTTGCAAGTAGACTCCTTTTCTGGGTCTATCTTTGAGTCCTTCTGTAACATGTGTGAGCATTAAGGTCTGTCTTTAGATGTGTCCTGGCTTACCAAGCAGAAAGAATATGAAGCTTGTAACATTTCTTGCTTCTACTTCCTATATGAGTGATTTCTTTTTTATTTTTATGACAACTCAAAAAAAAATTGTAAAACAAAAATAATTTTTAAATTCCACGAAAACAAATGAGCAAAACTTTTCATTTGGAATAGCTCTATGATCTTAAACATTAGCCCAAAAATTCAGATCAGTGGCTCTCAAAAGCTTGACTAGACTTTGGAATTACCTAGGAAGTATGAAAAAATGTTTGATTTCTAGGCCCCATACCCAGAGATTCTTTTTTAAAAAAATATATATATTATTGATTTTTTACAGAGAGGAAGGGAGAAGGATAGAGAGTTAGAAACATCGATGAGAGAGAAACATCAATCAGCTGCCTCCTGCACACCTCCCAATGGGGATGTGCCCGCAACCAAGGTACATGCCCTTAACCGGAATCGAACCTGGGACCCTTCAGTCCGCAGGCTGACGCTCTATCCACTGAGCAAAACCAGTTAGGGCGAGATCCTTATTTAATTCATGCAACCTGGGCATCATGATTTTTTTAAGTCACAGGCTATAGCTGAACCGTTGAGGTTGGGAACCACTAAGCCAGGTAATGGTCAATGAAAAACCTCCCTTGGGCCCTCCCTTACAAGGTCATATTATTAGCACATCTTTCCCACTGTATAATTGTTTGGTATCTTGGTATTTTAAAATCATAGTGGTCGAATCATTAATCTCATTAAAATATTTACTAATGAAATGATTTTTTGGTTTTTGTGTTAAGGGAATGGGTAACTAAGAGTTTTTTTTGTTTTAAAAATTAATAGTAAAAAACTTAAAGCAGATATTGATGTATAGATGTTCTTAACAAAAGCAACTGTATTTTTTAAATTAATTCTGGCAGAGTCAATTGAGATGGGAGAGGAAAGAGCCAGCTGGCTGCTCTGGTAAAACCTCATAGACCCTTGGGTGAATTCTCTTTCTCTCTCAATAATAATCAGACAGTTGTTTAGTGAGTACAGAATCAAAGTGAGAGGAGTTAGTCCAATGGTCTCCATGGCCATCATCACCTAATTCTGAGGTTCCATTGGCCTACAAAAAACTATGCCTATAATGGCAGCCTTCTCTCTTCAAGGGAGTTTGAGCATTTTTAATTTTGGGGCAGTCATGTGCTCATCTAAAAACTAAGAATTCTATAGATAAGGAAGAAGAGGAGAGCAGATATTGAGGGGCAACCAGTAACCTCTGTCCCAGGCCTTAATAAATATCCTTTGAAAGAAGGATGAATGAATCAGTACTGCTAGAAATCCAGGCTCACTATCACCTGAGGAAAAGGGTTGAATTTTGTAACCCTGATTCTGCTACCAACTGAGAATGTAATCTGTAAAACGAGGCATAATCTAAATCTCAGTTGTTTAGGTATAATTAAAACAGTGGAGATTAAAAAAAAAATACCTGGTGGAGAGAGAAAATGAATGTAAAACTCCTATCTAGCACAGCGTGGGACATGGTAAGAGCTTTAACAAATGTTATTGCTCCCCCTCCCTCTCAGGTTAGGCTCTGACTAACTAGTTCCCCCTGACAGCAGGCTTTAAGAAGGACCGTGCTCGGGAATATTTCAAAATGGTTTCTTTTCTCCTGCCTGTGTTGGAACCCCAGCACTGGTTTCTGCTCCAGAATCTCTTTTCCAGCAAGCCCTGTCTATGGTCTCCTGTCTTTCCAATCTTGGGGGGCAGTGGTTTTCCTGTGTCCTCTCTTCTCTTAGGAATCCAAGGAGAGTTGTTGGTTTTTCAGTCTGTTCTGTTCTCACTTGTTAGGGTGGAGTGGCAACTTCCAAGCTCCTGTATGTGGATCCAGAAGCCGGAAGTACACTCCTCTCATTCTTCACATTACAAGTCCACCGGGAAGAATTCTCTCCCCGTCTCGGCTAGAGGGACTTGGTGAGTCCTCAGGGACTTCAGAGATACCATGTTCTCCAAGCCATCCTGAAGAAACACTGAAAGCAGAAGTACCACTCCCAGCCCTGTTCTGGGCAAAGGCAGGGAGACAGACATTTGAGGAAGGCCAGTTACAAGAAGAGACACATTTCAAATTTTCTTAAATGACTTTAATTGGAGACTCAAACACTCTGTAGTTCGAGCCTGGCTCTGTGGAACAGCATCTGGTACTCCGTGGAGTTAGGGGAGAAATGCATAATTGAGGTTGAAACGCAGTCTCCCTGGTCTTCCCTTCTAGAGTTTGTTGCTGCTTAAGCCTTAAAATAATTGTTAATGACACCAAGCTATAGGCTCCTTTCTTCTGATGCAAAATCCTCCGATGGGAGAACTCTTTCACAGGTTATTTGGGATCAAAATACAGCTCTGTAACTGCACTAAATAGCTACAAGCAGGAACATTCTTGATGCAGTTACTGAGCTGGCTGCAAAAACCTCCAGGCCTGGAGAAGTCCACTCCCTGCCAGCCCACTCACTGTGTCAACCCATGATCCTCTCTGTCTAGCATTGGAGTTCTCCCAGACCCTGCTCTGAGAGGATGCAACCCTAGAAAAGACCAAATACCCATGCTTGATTTCCATGGCCTGATTTCTTTGAGGCCCCAACATAGGGCTGAACTGCTGTTTGCAGAGCTGTGTACAATAACAGCCATTATAGTAATCTTGAATTTCTGTCAGCCGTTCTTCCTAAGAACAATTGATAACACTTTCACAGTAATAATTCATCAGGTTTGCCCTCTCCCCAACCCCAAAAAGAGGAGAGGGGGCAAACCCCCTCCCTGACATTAAAAGGAAACCTGAGGCCTGGAGAGGTCAAGGACTTGCTCACAGTTCCAACTTCCGTCAGGGCAACGAGCTATGGAGG